TGGACCACAACGGACATAAGCGGCATCTTTATCTCTTGGTCCTTGTAAGCTTTTTGCTTCCTGGCAATGTCTTAAGATAGATGAAGAAGCGAAGAAGTCGACAGACGGCGAGGACCGATCTGCCCTGAGTGTAACAGGAGCGGTGCGCGCTGCGGCCACGGATGCCCATGACATCTACCCGCTCTTCCAGGGTAGTGAGGGCATCGTGAGTGGAAGACGGGACCCGCCACACACACGTCTCCCACACGGTTTCCCCAGAGGAGCGCAGTGGTTTAAAAATAAGGAAATAGCGCTCCCTGGGTTGCAGTACCTGCGGGCATCAGACTCCTCCGGCTGGCGGGTGGGGTGGGCGCCCGTGTCTCTTTTCCCTGTATCAGAACCGGACAGAGACTTTTTGCTTTCCATACACTGGCTGTTGAGCCTTGTCTGGAAAGTAACCGCGAACCCTTCTCCGTGCCTGATCACTATGAGCAGTGGTCCCCAACCTTGGGCCTCCAGATGTTCTTAGACTTCAACTCCCAGAAATCCTGGCCAGCAGAGGTGCTGGTTAAGGCTTCTGGGCGTTGTAGTACAAGCACATCTGGAGGCCCAAGGTTGGAAACCACTGACTATGAGGATGCTTTAAGGCCAACGAAGCCCTTTGGGCCAAGAGGGTTTCGCTGTCCACTCTTTCCGGAGCTCTTTACAAAATTGAAATGCTTTGGACTACAAGGCTCAGATGCCACCACCATCCCTGCCAGGTAGGCCAATAGCCATGGTGGGTGGGAGATCATGGGAGTCCTTGTCCGAAAAAGGTAACACGCCCAAGTTCTAGTCATTTTCCCAAGAGAGCATGGCTACACGCTGGACCAGCGGCTGATGGACAGATGAGGGTCGGAAAGGAAGAGAGGGCTGGGACCTAGGGCGAGTCTGGATGGCCAGGCACCCGGCTACTTTTCTTTCCCTGCCCAAACACTGCCCGCAAAGCCTGCCAGTGTTTTGCCCAGCACACCCAGGGAAGAGGGAAGCATCCCAAGAACGTGGAGAAACATGGGGGCTTTGGCCTGATGGGACCCGTGTTCGCTCAAGGCCCAGGCCGGGTCTCTGCCTAACCAGGGTTGAAGAGGGAAGGGCGGGCGAGTAGGAGGACATCCAACATTGCTGGACAACAATTCAGAGCATCCCTCACCATCGGCTCTGCTGCCACAAGGCTGATGGGAGTTGCGTGTCACAATGGCACACAGGAGGCCACAATTCCCAAGTCCTGGTTTGACATATGGGAAGGAAAAACCTACCAAGCTGGGAGCTGTGCCCAGAGAAAGGTGCCCACTACTCGAGCTTGCCTGAAACAAGTTCATTTTAATGGGGATGCTTGCTTTATTTCATTTCGTTTCTATTCCACTTTTCTCCATGTAGCAGAATTCAAGGCAGCTTAGAATTATTTAGAAACACAAAGATTAAGGCATTTATGAATATAATAAGCCACACTAGCAAAAAAAACAATTACTGTAAATGATCCAGAAGATGTAAGGATTAAAAGGCACTGAACACAATCCCTTAAAAACAATTAAAACACACGAAAAAAAGATAAAACAACAACACGCCTTTTAAAATCCCTTCCTGAGAGCAGTTAGCATGTTAAAAGCACGTGCAGGAAGAAAGGCCTTTACCTGCCAGCAAAAGGACAGCAAGGAGAGGTCCAGCCTGGCCCTCTGTCAGAAGGAGCTCCACCGCCTGAGAGCAGCCGCCAGAAGACCTTCTCCTGTGTCCGGCCAAGAGGGTGGAACCAGGAGAGAGTCCTTACAACCTGGGGATCTTACAACCTGGGGACTCCGATACGGATACAGTCCCTCAAATAAATCAACACAGCTGCTAATGTGTTTGGTGGTACCCTTTATACCAGGCTTGTCCAACCTGCGGCCCAAGGGCCGCATGCGGCCCAGGTCAGCTCGTAATGCGGCCCAGTGCAATTTTTCATTTTTAAAAAAATTCCAAAGTTTCAAGTTACACTGCCGCCGCTTGCGGCTGGAATGTGGCCGGGGCACGTCACAACAGTAGAGGGGGAGAAAGGGAAGGAAGGAAGGAAGGAGTGGGAGGGGAGGGGACAGGGGGGCTGCATGACTGCATTGCGCTGTGCCCGTCAATAGGTGGCCCCCCTCCCGGCCCCATAAAGCTGCCGGAGTCGAAGCTGGCAGCCTCTGCCCTCTGAGATCGCAGCTGCCAGTAAGCGCGCTTGGAGCGGGGCTGTGGAGGACGGCTAGGGCTGCCCCCCATGCGGCCCAAACCAAATGTATGTGCGGCCCAAACCAATTTTTCATCTTCTAATGTGGCCCAGGGAAGGTGAAAGGTTGGACACCCCTGCTTTATACCCTGCCTTCAGGCCAGCTCAAGATGGAGTATGTGGCTCTCCCCCTTCTCCACTTTATTTTTCACAACAGCCCTGTGAAGTGTCCAGGTCCAGGTTCACCAAAAGAGTTTCATGGCCGAGTGGGGACTAGAACCCGTATCTCCCAAGTCTGACTTCAACTCTTTAACCACTCCATTGCACTGCCTCTGCTGGGGCTGCTGAGCACTGCAGCTACTGGCAAATAAAAGGGTGCTGCTGCTGACCCTGCATGTAGGAAGAAAGCAGAGCCAGTGGGAAGGGATGTACCAGAGGGTTTGCCATGAGATGGGTGGGGCATCCAAGGTCCCAAGTCCATCTGCTGAAGGGAGTCAACTGGCTTCGTTCTTGTTCCTCTGCCTTTTGGTTCAGTGTATCTTCTCTCCATGCCCATCCTGTCAAGGAGGGTGCAACAGTCCCAATGCCCTCCTGTGTCTTCTGCCCTGTTCTTCCTTGGCTCTCCCCTGTTGTTGCCAGTAGCGATGTCACATTAGGATCATTAGCTTGCTCTCGGGTTCTTCTGGGGCAGTTGCCCCAGGGGGTGTCCAATGGATGAACTCACACCAGTAACCCAGTTCCGTCCAGCCTCCATAGCAGACACGTGCTGCTTGAGACACTTCTACCCCTGGCAGCTCTGGAGAGACTTTCACCTGCAGTTCTTGCTGGGAGCCCTCCAACCTCGTGCAAGACACCTTCTGTAAATTAAGCGTTTAAGCAGAGGTTGTAGGGCCGTGGGTAGGTGAGTGGCAGGAGTGGTTTTCTGCATCTACTGGACCAGCTGACCTTTGGCAGTCCTTCCCAAATCAATGTTTCTATGAATCTAAAGTATCTTGATATGTAGAAAGTTGGAGGAGGCCCGGTCAGCTGGAGTTCATGTGTATCTTTCATCTACCCACCCACCCCTTGTCCGTCCCCTGCTGTTTGATTTACCGAGTGGTCTAGGAGAAGTCCCAAACTCGCGACATGATGATGAGGGCAACCTGGGGCGAAGGTTGTGAAGCGCTGTGCAAATACGGGAGAAGGCTAACAGACCGGTGATAGCTAGCACTAATATGGGAGCTTAACGTTGCATGCTCAGAGAGGGACCTTTTAAGACAAGCTGCCACATCTTGGTTTAGTGCGGTCGTCCGAATGGGTTGCAGAAGCCCCTAAGGACCACCCCCGCTTCACCAACCCGTTGCCTCTGCAAAAGGCGCTCGGAGAAAAGTTCTCCTGCGCGCACTTCCTCGGCAGGGCGATTTTATACAGTACTTCTGCAGGCTTGATTGCTGACACGTTGCGGCGGCCCAATCCCCATCAGCAAGACGGGGGCGCGCACAGATGCAGGCAGAACCAGAAAGCCCAGGGAATAGGGGCAGGGTCTCAAGTGACGGGCAGGGGGGCGAGGGGTGGGTGCGGTCCAGCAAGCATCGTGGTGATAGATATGGGAACAATTAATGGGGAGCTGCCGAGAGGGTGCGAGTGAGGTCAGAGGGATCCTCCAGATATGGGCCCAGGGGGTGAAAGAACCCAGCGGAGGCGCATCTACAAAGGACTGAGCAGGCAACCCGATGCCCCCCAGCCGTGTTTAGACGACAGCTCCGATCAGCCCCCTCCAGATCGGGAGGGAAAGGGAAGCGGAGATAGAAATGACAAGGAACTGGCCATATCAGAGTGAAAGCCCGGACACGCGCTCCAGGAAGTGGTCGGTTTGTCCGTTCGTTCGTTCCGAAAAAGAGAATTCTTTAGGCCGGTTCGAGACCTGCAGTTGATCTCCGTGGTGACTGTCTCCCCACCCACCTAACTCATCCAACAAGGCAATGCGTGGGGGACTGCCTGTGCCTCCCTTTCTCGGCGAGAAGAAACAGAAAGTTAACTTTGCACACGCTCAGGGGCTCCCTTAGCCCACGTCCTGCTCCTCTGCCCGCGCGCCCGCGGTGAGCGGTGGGAGTGGGAAGGCTGGCATGGGAACAGGTCCCGGGGCTAAGCCCTCGGATCCAATGAAGCCCTGGCTCCTCCGGGACTGCGCGCCCGGGCGTTGTGTTGACTTTGCCCGCTGGCAGCAGCGAGGGGAAGCCCGGCCCAGGCGGCATTGTTGTCTCAGCCGGTTAATCAGATCCTACGAGCCGTTGTGGAAATATCGGGCCTCCTGCCGAACAATAGGGCCCCAGGAGGTGGTGGTTAAACTTCAACCAGCTTAACTCCCCCCTCCCCCTCCCTCCCTCCCTCCCTCTCTCTGGCCGCCTGAGCCCAGGGAGCCGGGCACGCGAGCGAGCCGGGACACCCCAAGCCACACGCCGAAGGACGCAAGGGATCGCCCAGGGAGGGAAGGGCAAGGCGGCCCCCCAGGAGTCCGGCGGGGGCACCCTTCCGCGCCTCCCCCCTCTCCCCCGCGCGTCCTGCCCTGTCGCTTATGAGGATCCCCGGGTCCTTGATGGAGAGGTGCCGGGACCGCCGAGATGGGGGACACGCTGTCGGGTCTCCTCCTTCCAGGCGGAGCAGGGGACCGGGGAGGCAGCCCGATCCTAAACGCCCCTTTATCCGGGAATCCCCCCCCCGGGACCCCCGT